TGTGTGCCTGGGGGTGGGGGGCATCTGGGGTAGGCCATGGGGGGGTGCTGTACATCTGGGGGTGGGGGAGGGTGTTTCTGGAGCTGTGGCAGGCTGGGGGGAATGACTATTTCTGGGGGTGGGGAGGTGGATCCAGATCTTGGCCAAAGAGAGAGTGTCACATCTTGGGGAGACAAGGGGCAAAATTATCTTAATCTGTTTCTGTTGCCCCAGCTCCTGCTGTCTCGCACTTACGCTTAGTCTGGAGATCTGGGTCAAAGACCTCCCTGCCATAAGCTGGTGCAGCATCACTGAAGGCAGTGGTGGCTTGTTCTCTTACTCTAGGGCTGAGTTTGCCCCTCTGTTCTGGTTTCACAGTTCCTGCTCCTGTCTTTAGCTTTTGTACGTACAGTCTACTTGTACAATGTACAAATAATAGTAAGGGCCTTGATCCTGCACTGCTGATGTTGGTGTCAAAATTTCTATTGACTTCAGAAGTGGGTGCATTTTTATCTGTATTTATGTACTAAGAATTTGCAATTGAAAATTAATTTGGATTAAGGTGGTGGGTGAATTTAAAGCACCATAGCTATTCCCGAATAGCTCCTCAGTATGAGACATGGTAGACCAGTTAAAGCTTGGATTCCTTTCTCCTGCATTGTCATCATTGGAGCTTTGCTCATTTCTCCCCTCCCCCTTTTTTTTCTGTCTAAACGATGCTTATCCACTGGTTTGTGGCAATAGTCCTATATAGGCAAGAAATGTATCTCCTCAAAGAAAGAGATCTTTCCAAGACCTGGAATCTTATCCTCCGAGGAAGTGCCATAAAAAGTGCACTTGAGCCTGCCTGTGTTGTTCAGTCTATTCTAAGAAACTTGGAAGAGACCAAGTGAGATAATTTAGGCTTTGTAATAATCATAATCATAACAAAATCCAGGGGAAACAGTTTAAAAATACACACAGACATCTTCCTATAGTGTTTGAAACCTATTCATATCAGATCAATCCCTTTAATCTAGAAAGTGATGCTGACAAATAACAAAGTGAAATTGATGGGCTGTTTTCCCTGTCTTAGCTAAAAGAAATACAAAAATAAATCAACAAGTTATCTAAACAGAAACAATATGTAGCAAATATTCACTATCCGATATAATGCTCATGGTATGAGTAGATTATTTGATTTAAGTGAGGTAGCAGGGCAGTAAGCCTTATAATATTTGCGATATTTGGCCCTACGTTTTTGTTAATGATTGTTTCAATTTTAATAATTTAAGATGCTGTGAAGTAACAATAATGTGAGAAGCTATAAGGAAAGGAATAGATACAACAGAAAATACCATAATGCCACTTATATGCCCACACCTTGAATAGTGCATGCAGTTCTGATCAATTCATCTAAAAAATTAGAAAAGGTACAGGGAAGAGCAACAGCTGCCATATGAGGAGAGAATAAAGACTGGGACTGTTCAGTTTAGAAAAGAGATACTAAGGGGGAGAATATGATGGAAAATACAACTGATTGGAGAAAATGAACTGGAAGGTGTTATTGACCTGTGTGACATAACACGCTAATTATGGTTTCACCCAATAAAACTAATGGGCAGCAGGTTTAAAACAAACATGAGGAAGTATTTCTTCACACAAGACACAACCTGTGGAACTCATTGCCATGGGATGGTGTGAAGACTAAAAGTATAATAAGGTTAAAAAATAATGAGATGAGTTAATGGAGGGTAAGTCGATCAATAGCTGTTGTCCAAGATGGACAGGATGCTCTGGGTAGCTTTAAACTGCTGACAGCCAGAAGCTGGGAATGGACGACAGGGGTCATAGCACTCAAAATTGCCTTGTTGTGTTCATTACCTCTGAAGTGTCTCCAGTGGTTTCTGCAGAAGACAAGATACTGGGCTAGCTGGACCATTGATCTAACTCAGGCTGGCTGTTCTTAGAGAAGAATGTTCTGTGTGTGCAGTATAAGAACATAACATGATACAATTTTTAATTGGATGGTGGCAGTCTCCGGTATGATGGAGATGGCAGAACAGTTTCAATTGGTACAGTTCCAGGTGAAGTTTAAATCTTCTCTGTGTTGGGAAACTTACTGTGTAGGGATCTCTATCTTGTCTTTCATAGGCCTGTGTCCGGGGTTATCTGGTGAGGAAGAGGTTCCAAAGCTTACAGGAGGAGTATCAGAACATGGTTAACGAGATTGAAGGGGATTTGGGTCAGTTGCAGTGGAAAGGGCGCTTTATACCAACACCTGTTTTTCCTCAAAAGGTAGGATTCATTCAGTTCATGGTACATAGTCACTCCTGGTGAAGGCTGGCATTGTTAATATGATGGGTATGTTCTCTGTGAATAGGGATTTCTTGCAAAAAATGGTAGCTAAAATGGTACTCAGCACTTGTGCATGTAGCAGGTAGTACCTACATTTATTATCGCATGATTTGTGTTTGGATTCAAAGTATGGTCTAGCTAAACACTATAAATGCAGCCATATTGGGAAAACCTGGTTGTCCTACGGCACAATTAAGGCTTCCATCTCTCACTATAGACTGGACCTAGCTGTGTGTTAACCACCTAACCCATGGTGCTGAAGCATGGAAGAATAAACTGTCTCCTCTCCATTGCAAACTCTCCATTGCAAACCATTTTCCAACCCATGATCATTTCAGCCCTTTTCTGGGCAGAGTGAATTTTTGGAAACTGGTGAAGAAAGTTATTGGTGCTAGTTACAAACATCTAAGTGAGATCATCCTGGCCAGGAAGAACCTAAACTTGTTGGATTTTTTTAAACTACTTCCCTCTATTCATTAATTCTCCTCCATTTTAATGTCTCAAACATTGTTTTTCCAGAAGCAGATGAAAGTAAAGCGATTAATTGATCAAGAACCTAGATCCAAAGACCAGAATAATACAGCAAAAGGGCAGCAAAAGCTTTGTCCTCTTGAGACAATAGAGCCAGAAAAGGACTGTAACAGTAGGAGTTACATGAAACCTACAGCCCAGCTTCAAAGTGAGGAGATGGTCGTAAGAGGTGAAGACAGCAGTGTGAAGCAAGGTCCAGAGTGTGATGCAGATAAATCCACTGGACAGGACTGCAGCTTGTCCAGGGAGAATACAGAATGGAAGAACTATAGCAATGCAACATCTGTATGGAGCAGTACTGTTCTGGAGACAGGGTCTACTGCAGCCAGCCAGGGTAAGAAACAAGAATAGGGTATGCAACATAAACAGCAACTCTGAGCCCTTCCAGCATGGCATGTGTAACCTGGCAATGTACTCAAACTCATGCACATGATCAAGATTATTGAGGAGACAAAAGCCTCAGGAACACAATAGAGAGTCTAGAGCAGCGAATCGTATACAAGAGAGAGCATAGAACGGAGTCTGGGGCCCCTCGCATGACTCTCCCGTTTCTCCTCGCCATAGTCTTGTCTGCACTAGAAGATAACCCATTGCAGAGATATATTATTTAACTGCAAGGACAATCTAAATTTGGTTCCACACCAGCACAGAAACCTCAATCGTCCCGTTTGGAGCCAGATTCCAGTTTCTCACCTGAAAACCCCTTTTATCCAAAGTCCTCCCGTTTTCCAAATGTAGGTTCTGCTTTCTAGCGAGCATCAATTGCAGGGGAAAATACACCCCTTTTATCTCAACATTTGTTTGCCTAAATAAATTCCCTGTCACCACTTCCATTAGCAAAGGGATGGGGGAGGTTCTTGCTGTGTCTGAGATCACACATACATGTGTTTGTTTTGATGCAGTTGGAAGTAGGTTAGTATCCAAGGTCTCATTCTTGATGTACCAGACGCACAATAAAGAACCTCTGATGGAGCCAGAAATTAATGATACAGATGGACTGGCCAAGCTTCGCCTGCAGTAAGCACACCAAAAAATGAAAACACTAGCTTCTATATAGTATGGCTTTGCAAACCAGGGAAGGTGATTGCATTCCCCACATCCTCTGAAAGATGCACTAGAGATTAACTTTTGAAATTGCTTGTTCTGAGCCTGTGTGCACTGGCTTGGATTAACAGGCACCGGATCTTGAATATTACAGTAATAAGGGCAATATGAAAACCCAGAATAGTACAAAATAGAATTCTGGTTCTAAATGGGATGATCTCTTTGTTGCAATGGGTTGTTGACTCTGAAACCTGCGGACAGCAGTTTGTATGTTGTTTCCCTGCTGTTTGTTCTACCAAAATGTTTCACTCCTCTGGGATTGTGGATGGAATTTGGGAAGAGTACCGCCTGCCCCAGTATGACCTCTGAATACAAAAAAGGCTCTAAATGTAACATGGCCTGGCTATGAAATCAAATAACCCCTTACATGGAATTAATTTCTTTTCCATCTCTGCAGAACTCCCATTCAAGAGCATACAGCAGGAGCTGCCTCAGACTCTTCCTGACCTCCAGTGTTATCGAAATCACTTAGCTATGGAGCTGCTGTGGCTGCAACAAGCTATCGTGAGCCGTAAAAAGGTAAGAGCCTGTCCTTGCCTCTTGCTGTGTGCAAAGGTTGGCTTGTCCAGACAAACCTTTGCAAGAGGACTCTGCAGTTAGTCAGAGTGGTGAAGAGTGGATTTCCAGATTGAATGTTCATTTACATAAGAGTTTAGTCAGACAATGAAGTTACAATTCTCTTCTTTGCTGGACAGGATAATGCTTAGGACTTGTACCACACTTTCCATGTGTAATCATCAGCCAATTAGATGAAATTATGGCTGAGATTAACTAGGCATGTTACAAAGACTTCACTGTTTTTCTAGAATGTAATGCAGTCCCAATTCTAAACCACCCTTGTTCATCCAGATTATCCAAATACACTTTGTGAGGGAGGGCCTGATTTTTTATTGTTGTTTTTTCACGTATATGCTAATCTACCTTCAGTGCTAGTCTCCTGGTATGGGTGTGAATTAGCAACGATGGAGTTGGTAAAGAAATAAGGACAGAATAATGCTTATATTGTACCTTCCATGTCGAGGTCTCAAGGATACGTCTACACAGCAGCGTTATTTTGGAATAACTGACTTTATTTCAAAATAACATAGTGTGCGTCTATACAGCAAGCCATTATTCCGAAATAATGTTGAGCTAGAGGACTTCTTACTCTGACTCCTGTAACCCTCATTTCACGAGGAGTAAGGGAAGTCGAAGGAATAGTGCTCTTCCTTCGACTGCCTGCTGTGTAGACTGCGCCAAAAGCCGAGTTAAACTATTTCAACTTCAGCTACGCAATTGACATAGCTGAAGTTGTGTATCTTAATTCGACTTTTTCCCTGGTGTGTAGACAGACGTACCCAAAGTATTTTACAGATATGGGTTAGTGTTATCACATCCATTTTATAAATAGGGAGGTGATACACTGTGAGGTTCAGTGACTTGCCTGAGGTCAGACCTTTACAGATAGGGAGATGATACACTGTGAGGTTCAGTGACTTGCCTGAGGTCAGACAGTTAAGTCAGCAGTGGAGCAGGGGCAGAATGCAGGAATCCTGACTCTCCTGGAAGTCCCTTGGTTCAACCACTGAACCATGCCTCAGTTTCTCTCATTTTTTCTACCAAAATGTGTGTATGGAATTCTGTGCCTTCCCTGCAGCAGTGGATGGGATTAGTAATGCAATCATTGATCTGTTTCTTAGTAAGAGTTCATGCTGCTGACAGACATTCAGGGTTGACAGTCTTATACCAGAACCTTCCCTAATAACTAAATGCCGAGGGTGTTCTGTCTAAAATGTTAGTTACTCTGCTAGGCAGCCCCGCGTCACTAAAACTGGCACTCTGGGGCTTATTTCCAACTGTAATCACAAACGACGAGAGTTTCTAGTTGCCTAATCCTAGAACTAAGGGGAAAGGAGTCCAGAGATTTGTTGCTAATGTATTGTGTGACCTTGCAATTTGTGCCTCAGGTTCTCTGTCTATAAAATGGGGATAAGGAGGCTATTTACCTACCACATGCATGGCTTAATTAAGTTTTTAGAGTGCTTTGTTGCATGCAGTGTCCCTCTGCTCTGTCCACCTGCTCCTCTTTTGAATAGGCAGCATCCAAAGGACAGATCCTTTGTATATTAGAGCACTATGCCTGGCCATGAGCACGTAGCCAGCAGAGGGAGGAAGACCTCTAAATCTAGCTCTACAAACTGCATTCCTTCCAATGTTATAAGCATTTCTCACCACAGATAAGGAGTCCAGCAGTAGCTGAGTAACCTGCAGAAACAGATGCTTCTTTGGTTTCAAATCTAGCAGTGTCCTCATTTGATTTCCCTTTTTGTCTTGTAGTATTTGATCCTGAAACAAAGGCTGGGGACTCCCGAGTGATAGGGATCTGTTTCAAAGAGTCACGGGATATGCTCACCTCGGTATGGAGGAGCAGTGTTCTCTGGGACCAGGTGGGCTGTGTCCCATCCACAGCAGGTGGGGAATCGCTGGCTTTAGCAACATGAACTGCAGTTGCCCAGAAAAGCACCAACTCCGTTGTGGCACAGAAGTTCTCCATGGTTAACTTGTGACTTCTCCTGGGATTTTGTCACATTTGTCAATATAAGTTATGAAGACGTTTGCTTTTAAACCTGAGAACTCTGGGTGAAGGCACACATTCAGCGTCTGCCCCGAGTAAGGAGGATGCTATCTGTACTAAAGGGGTTTTTATTCAGCCCTCACCCAGAAGAACCCAGTTCTGCTGACTGGTTTTGGTGTACTTTTCTTTAAACGATTAGCTGATCATTTAGGATTGAACTGACCTGCAAGAAGCCTGGAGCTTTGCACCTCCTCCCCGGGGCAGGAATGTCATTTGTTGTCAGCTCACTGAGCCTTACATCTGGAAAATGCCTGTCCGTCTCACGTAGAGTGACTCTGTTCCCAAGTCTTGGGGATCCCAAAATGCTCCTTTGCCAAACCCTGCAGTATTCACTCAGAACCCCAACTGAGCCAGAACCCCCTGGTTTGACACTCTGTGGACAGAATGTATTATCTAGCCAGATGCCTTTCCTAGTGGACTCTGTTGACTGTTTGATACTAATGGGCAATATGTGAACATCAGAAAGGAACATTTCCCCGTGGCACTGGCTCCCTAGTCTAGACCCTAGCGCTTTGTGAGTGTGGAGCTCCGGCTTCTCTCTTTCTTACACAATCATACACCTATTTAATGTACAGTCTGGAGCCTTTCCAATGAAAACCTGTGTCAGTTCCTGTCATCTGTTCTCAATTTTTTGTTTCTGAATAAAATGTTGTGTCTGCCACTGGCTGGGCCAGAAGTTGTCTTGATCCCTCCAGATGCTACCCAGTGAAAAGCGAAGTAAGCCTAACCTCAGTGGTAGTGTCACCTGGTAGGGATGGGCCAAGGCTATTGCTCTAGGTGACAGAGCTTTCCTTCAAGGAACACTCTCCAGGTTGTATAATTTCACATGGTAAATAAAGCTCTTGGCTGCATCTTTCAATGTGTGTGTCTTCTGGCCAACTGACTCGGCTCCATTTAGTACAGACTAGCCCTAGGACTTGGCCCTCTGTGTTTAAGAACAGGAGAGAGGATCTGTTACAGGCTGGTGACCTTGCATCACCCTCTTCTCGCAGGGCTGGAGAAATCAGTAATTTTGGAAATTAAGTGGGTATCTTGAATCTGTCCTCCCTGGAGTGCAATAGAGAGGAGAAGACGGGGTAAGTATAGATTTGTTTGCTCATATATTTTTGTCATGCAAGTGAAAGACTTGAATTCCTCCATCTTCTGACCAAGCTGCAGTTCAAGTTACGCCCCCCCCATTAATCTGCCTAGGTATTTTTCTGTCCCCCATTACCAAAAGAAGTCTGTGGCAGAGCAGTGAGTTGAACGTGGGTCTTTCTGGTCACGGGCTAATACCCTAGCCACTGAACCATCCTTCCCCTCCTGCCCAGTTCATTTTTGATGGCTGTAGCTAGGGAGTTCATGTAAATGGCGATGGTGATTTGCTTTGTGATGCAGATGCTTGTCAACAAGGCACTGCATTAGCACCTGCCAGGCTCGGGTCTCACAGGCCACTGAGCAATCATCAGTGAGAGACAACTTTCAGACGCTTCCACTCTGGGCTGGATTTGAATCAGCACTGCAGAGGTAATCCGCCCCCTCTGCTCTCCTGAACCCTCCAGTCTCCTGATTTTGGAGTTGGGCTGGGCTGTGAGGGAGCTTTTGATACGGTTTGTGTGTAGTAGAGGAGAGGTACTGAGTTGTTTGGTTCTGTCTGAGTGACTCAGCCTCCAGGCCGGCCCACAAAACTCCCTCTGGCTGGGCCTGCAGCCATGGAAACCGCAAGACTCCCTTTCAGAACACAGCTCGGAGAAGGGAGAGGGAGCACAGAGGCTGCCAGTCAGCGTGGGCTTGTGCTTAGCACAAGGGTGGCTAGGGTTTTCCTCTTCCAGCCCCCGCACTGTACTGATCAAACCTGTCTCTGATCAGTGGGGTGGCCGTGACACAGGAGGAATGAGCTCTAGCACAATAGCCCTGGCCCCTCCAGCCAAGAATGTGGTGGTGTATCGCAATGGTGATTCGTTCTTCCATGGAAGAAAGTTTGTAGTGAACCAGCGCCAGTTCCTGACCTTCGAAGCATTTCTGAACGAGGTGACCAGCACCATTCATGCTTCTGTGGCTGTGAGGAATATCTACACCCCCAGGCAGGGCCACCGGATCACCGAGCTGGGGGAGTTGCAGAATGGATGCCCATATGTGGCAGCTGGCTTTGAGCGATTCAAACGGCTCGAGTGAGTAGATCAAAGTGTTAGATTCAGTCTCGGGACTTGATAGGTGACCTTAGGTACCCATCCTTGTGTGGCTATTGGGGAAGGACAAGAGATCTATAGCGCTTCCATGTGTGTTATGTTCTATAATGAGTTTGAGGCAGAGCGTGGTGAGAAATTGGATCCTGAGGGGGTGAGAAATTCATGGTTTGCCGTAAGTATGGCTGACAGCACTGAGCTGAGATTCTCGCCTTGTTTTGATTGACAGAGCAAATGGCTTCTCTCGTGCATGCCTCATGCACCGTGCATAAGAATCAGTTTTACCGAAGGAAAATCTTAGGGTAGCCACTTTGGTGTTAAATTTTTTTTATCTTGGTTTTCACTTTCCATCAGATTATCTGCCCTTTAAAATTAATAGTTGGGAAGTTCACGGCACTTTAAATACATTTAATACTCGGGATTTTAAAAGGCACGTGTATCAGGTGTGTGTTAGCCTGAAATGGGAACGAAGAGACCTGTCTATTCTTTTAACTGCTTTGCTCCTTGGAATCAGCTGTGAATGTTTCTAGATGTGCTGGATGAGCCTAGAAATGTAAATCAAAGTGATCTTTCACTTTGCAAGAGTAAGTAAAAAGAAAAATGTACGTGCTGGCAGGGTGTTAGTCTATGCAGCACTGTGTTGGTATACACAGCTCTGTGTCTTAGGCAACTTGGGGGAGTTAGTTGGGGCTCTCTGCTGCGGCTTCCATCACAAGTGTCCCTAGAAATGTCAGCCACTGATGCCTCCTCCCCATTCTTAGGTTTTGCAGGGAGCAAACATTTCCAAATGTGTAATTGTTCTTTAAGGCAGCCTAGAATATAGTGGGCCAGATTCATTCCTGGCATAAGTCCTTTGGAGTCAGTGAAGTTTCATGTGGGATGAATTTGACTCAATAATATTGTGGAGGAAACTGTCAAGCTATATTTATCGAGCAATACTAGCTGGTGCTTGGAGTCCTGGTCAATGTCTTACTCAATAAATAAAACATGATGTTCACCAAAACATGAAGTTGGCATTTGTGGTATCTGGAACTCAGCCTGTTTGGCTGAGACCTGTTTAATTCTTACACTTTGTTTAGCATTTTGAAGGGCACGTGAAGAGAAAAGTCCAGAAGAAATTATAATTTCCTGTTGATAAGCACTTGGGAAGCAGAGATTTTATATGCAACATGAATGGCTGCAGCACAAATGTAGGCAATACTGTTAATGACTGTCTGCAAATACCTTTTCCCAGCTTAGAAGTGGCCAGGCTAGTTAAAGTATTGACCTCGAAGTAGTCGATAGTAGATAATATCATCTTGTGATTACAGTCCATTAAAAACAAGCTAGCATTCCTGTAGCCTGATCTGCTCACAGTTGCACTTTTATTCATGCCGATGAGACTTAGAATAAGATATGACCTTCCTTATGTACAAAAGGTGGAGGAGGAGGAGGTGGCGTTCTCTCCATGTTAGGGTGTGGGGGGTTGCCAGGGGCTGTGTACTGTTTATTTTCTTGCCTCCGTTTTCACAGCTACTTAAACCCTGGAATGAAGCAGCTCGGTGGGAGCAGGAAAAAAAAACGACCTTCTTTATGTACAAAAGGTGGAGGAGGAGGTGGCGTTCTCTCCATGTTAGGGTGTGGGGGGTTGCCAGGGGCTGTGTACTGTTTATTTTCTTGCCTCCGTTTTCACAGCTACTTAAACCCTGGAATGAAGCAGCTCGGTGGGAGCAGGAAAAAAAATGGTGCACAGGTGAGTGTGTGGCAGACAGGCGGTTGCCTTGCTCAGAGAGCGAGTGGAGCGTGGGGCTTGGTCAGAGATTAGGGCACCTACCTGCGCCTAGCAGAGAACAGGGAGACTTTGTCAGGGATGACTTTCTACAAGGCCAGTTGTATGTGTTGCCCTTCCTCTACCGCTCCCTACGTAAGGGCTTGGGAGGGTAGAGGAGGAGTGTGTATGTGACATTCTTCCCGCACTGATGAAACTGCAGAGGGTGCTCTCCTGCCAAACTCTTCTCAATTTCCACAGCAGGTGAGCAAGTTGGTCAGAAGCAGCCTCTGGCTGCAGTGGAAATGGGCTATGGGATTTTCCTCCTCTTGCTCCCTGCCCCACCTCCATTTAAACATTAATGGAACGGAGACTGTCAGTCCTAAACCGAACAGGGGAAGCAAGTAGAGGCTGGGGACCAGAATAAATGGGGGTGCCTAAGAACAAAGGACTGACAGTGGTTTGGGGGTCAGTGTGACACCCCCTGTGACTGCAGCAGGCCTGAAGCCTTGTGTTAATATTCCACCTTCATCATTCGCACTCACACCTGTACACACACTTAACCCTGGCAACCTCGGTATGCACCTGGCCTTGCCAACTGCATTGTTGATGTGTGAGAGGAGGTGCTCCAGTTCTTGCCTGACAACAAGCCCCACCTAACAGCAATGAGACCATACAGCAAGCTAGGAAGTTCAACCTAAGTTCTGTGTTTGAGTGACATGTGCTGTGTGCTGAATCTGGTCTCTAGATCCGCCCTGTTGTCCCTCAGAAACGCACGGTGGCAGCGCGATGGCAGAAGCAGGTCCAGCTGCCCTGCATTATACAGTGAGTGCCTTTCAACTTTCCCATAACGATTCCTTTGGGGAGCTGGCTTGGGAGGCTGGAGGCTGAGTCCTTGAGCTCAGGAATGGGGTAGGGGGAAAGCTGGCCTTGGAGGGGGGTGTTTCTGCCCCAATCCCTTCCAGAGCTAGTTGTTTCTGTCTATGGCTCCTCCTTTCAGTGAGAGTAAGCTTCTCCCTGTCAGGACTGAGCCATTCTGTAGAAGTAAAGGAGCCCTCTGGCTGGACATATTCCAGCCCCTGCTCCTCTAGCCCAGGGTTAAATGAATCTTGCAGCCTCATGTGTGAATTGGTTTTCTATGAGCACAATCTCCTGAAACAGAACAAACATGGAAAGCCCCATCAGTACCAGAGTTTCCTGGGCTGTTAACTGATTGGACCAGATATTGATGTAGTGTAAACACAACATAACCACATTGGCTTCAATGGGGTTAACTCTGGATTTACAGCAGTGTAAACCGACAGCACAGTTTGGTCTGATATATGAAACACTGGGGCTGCATCTAGACTGGCAAGTTTTTCCGCAAAAGCAAATGCTTTTCAGGAAAATCTTGCCAGATGTCTACACTGGCCACTTGAATTTCCACAAGAACACTGACGATCTCATGTAAGATTGTCAGTGTTCTTGCGGAAATACTGTGCTGCTCCCG